CAGGTTAGGTACCATGTTACTGGATGTAAGTTAGTCCTCTTTGTTGTTTTAATGATATAACTTGCTATGAGGAAAACTATACACATGAATGAAAGCATCTCTAGAGCTTAGGATCAGTCTAATCACATCCCCACAACCTTCTAAGACCATGGAGGACAAAAGCATTAGATCACAGCATTTGCTAAGACATGGAGTACCTGCGCGGGTGGTTTTTAGAGCGATTTCACCCCCCGGGACCTCTGTCAACTGTTAATCATACCAGGGTTTCACAGGGCAAAATGTTGGAGAGACATTTCACTGCAAGACTGACATATCACTGCAAGACTGGCTACAGACTGGAGAGTGAACAGGGCCTGGTGATAGGGATGAGAACAAAAAAATTCACCATGGGTGAAACCCCAAAGTCCAGGATCGATTTTTAATCCCAGTCCATCCATGATGGGAAGGTTTCAAAATGAGACACTGCGATTTTGGCTCGATAAAAACAACAGGCGCCAGGGGCCATGATGAGATCCCTAGTAACGACGGACTCAGGTTACTAGTTAGTTGATACTTATTCAGTATTAAGTCAAACCCTAGAGTTTGTGGTTATCATGGGTGGTCATCATGTTTAACCCAATAGGAACCGATGAAATAAGTAACAGAAAATGAGTTGATAGTGAAAGATAATCCCACCCAATACTGGGTTCAAAGCCTTGTTTCACCCATTGCTACCATTTCTGCCGCTGGATGCTTTTATCGCATGACTGCAAGCTACATTGCGAAGGTACAACAGAAAGCTTGAACCCTCTGGTTACAAATCCACATTCAGACCCTAGAAATTATCCTGCATCACATGGCAGCCATAGGTCCAGAAGAGCCATCTGCTGGTTTATATGAGATGATAGGTACCTGCTGATGCTGGAGTAAGGTAATCTTCTTCTGTACATATCACATCACCTCCACAAGGGGGTGTGTTACGCAACCCAGACTCAAATCATACATATGGCATCTCAAAAAAGAAATTGTGATTGACCTACCCTTCTTTGTTAATATTTTTCTATGATGAGCATTATCATCATGTAATTTGCCTCAGGAACTGCCAATTCATAACTCCCTGATAGGATGCAATATTGCCTAACTTTAGCCTGTATGCATCAAAAAATGGAAAGTTAAGCATATTTTGTGAATCCTCAGGATTTAAAAGCCCTCTCAATAACCCTTTATTGCGTTCATCTGCTCCACGGTCGTCATTCCTGTCTATCGGATGGCTGGGTGTTTTATGGGAAATTACTGACTATAAAAATGCACATGTTCCTCTTCCCTAGGCTGATGCATGGCCCATCGTCTGAGTGGTAACATCGTCAAAACATCATGACAGATCTCCTGCAGCAGTCACATGCGCATGGGAATCACGCAAACATGTTTTTCTGTTGACACCCAGGAAAGGAAAACTGACGGTTAAGTTGAAGTGATTTCGGTTTTTCTGTACAATGAGAATCACTCTAGAGAGCTGTCATGGTAAATATCAAAGGAATAATTGGGAGGAGATGCTCAGTCATCACTGGATGCTACTGATGCTAATTGTGTAACAGGAAACAAATTAAACGCTTTCAAAGGTGAGTGTTTCCCACTGTGGGGAATTTTGGCAATGTTTAAATATGACGTTGATGGGATTCCCTTATTGTGATCTCTGCAAAGGAAACCTTAAAGTGACCTAATGAAACTGGTACTCCAATAGACGAAGCACAGGATTCTGCAGGTTGGAGTAGTGGGCATATCGAAAGGATAGTGGGCGCGTCAATTTTCTTTGCCGTGTTGAAAGGTGGGTGTGTCAACAGCATTAAGTGCGGCAAAATGGGTGGAACCACACATGTGCAGCAACTAGCTTTGCATTTTCTAGAAGTATGGTAGTAAGTGCAAGCAAGCATAGGAAATGTCTTACACTTTATGAACAAATATGAAACAGGAATTTAATTATGTCTGCCAATCATAGTCGTTGCCTTGCCTACACATCAGACAAATGTCAGGTCTCTTTCTCAAATGACGTTTCTTTTACAGCATTTTCAGCCAATAGAAATAACCTTTTGGCACGCCTGCTCTACTGCACACGTCACCTTTCGACATGCCCACCTCTCGATTTACCCACCACTCTATCCTGCAGAGACTCAGTCTCCTTTAGTATCTACTCTACCAGCTTTCACATTCTACCATTGGGTTGCAAATAAATATTTTCCAGTGACACATCCATTTTATTGTCTTACATTTTCAATCACTTTATTCTCTAAGTTTCAAATAAATAAGGGAGACACCGAGAATGAGGCCAAAGCAGGGGTCACATTGTTATGAGGGCTGAGCCAATAGGGCACATGTTGAAATGTGAACGGAACGTTAAATGAGTGAAAGGAGTGCATGACCGGCGGCACACAGTAATGGTTTAGCGTGCTCTAGGCTGAGCGTTAGGTGCGACACCGTGCAGCGTCCTGGATATCGGGCGATTCCATCACCAACAGGGAGCTTGGGTGACCCCAGGCAGCAGCCATGTGACTAACATGAGGTTACGGGTCAGCTGAGGACACCTGACATGCATTGATGTCATGCTGTGGCATAAAAATGTGATGGACACATGTGAGGATACGAACTATGGGGGGGGGGGGGGGGTCTGTGTTACTGTGTCTTCCTTCACACATCCACCTTACAGTGGTCATTTGGTGTCGCCCAAAGGCTTCGTAGATCAGAAGCAATGAGTGTGAGTGGCTGAGATAATGGAAAATTGATTAATTTGCTGTGCAGGCACATTAATGTCTCAGCCTCTATCCATCTCCCTGCAAACTGTCAAATGTTTAAAAAAAAAAAATGCATGGGGCACAGGGAGTGCTCAGTCTCAGAATAACTCATAGCACAATATACCCTGACAAAGTGCACATGTACACTGCTAAAGTGTATCCATGTTCAGCTGGAACATCGGCGTATGAGCCACATAACAGCTGGAGTTCTATTGTACAAGGTTAGGCTTAGCGTATATGGAAAGGCTAAGTATCCAGCAACTGAACATGGGGGATTAGAATCCCATTCCTAGCCAACAGTAGCGCTTACACTGAAAGCGCAGAGTATTCTGCATCTAATCAAATGTTTGCCTTAGTAGGTCGATGGGGTAGTACATGTGTAGCCATGCCAGGATACTTCCATCTCAGTAGGCACAGAATCAGACAGTATGATGACCAGTCACTTTCACCTGTTACTAAAAACAAGGGCAGACTTGTTTTTCCTGTTTCCTTTGCCTAAGTGTCAAATTTCAAGTTTGATTACTTCATGCTAAATTAGACAGCTTTGACAGTTGAAGTATGACTGACATAATTTCTCAAACTAATAATTTTGACTTTTCAAATATCTAATTATCTAGGGGCATGGAACAAGGAAAAAAAAACATGCACCTACATAAAGCAAATTAGTTAAAGGTGAAACATAGAAAGCTCTGGAATATAGTTCTAAAGGATTCCTAAAATGCACTGCATTTTACTATTCCGTTTGAATGCAGATCCAAAGAAGCTGCAAGAAATGAGGTTATACCTAAACAATTTCAAACAGATTTTCCCTTAACCTCATTCTTGTCCTGTGTGGAGGCAGTACATGCCTAAGACATTTAGGTTATCCATGTACAGCAATGTGTCACAGGGTGTAAACATCTCAACTAAATACCACCACCATTAAGGTCTCATGGGATGTGAGCTCTCAGAAATTAGAGAATTGCTCTTTAGGAAATGGAATGTGAGCAGCTATTTCCTTGTTTGCCACTGAAAGGTGAGCAGCTCCAGGATTATGATGGATGAGATGAGCTGCTAAACAATTGCCATTACCATTGCAGGTGGATGTCTGTGGATGGGAATGACCAGGTGTGTGGCTGCTGTGACACCAGCTGTGGACCTGCAGGTGTAGCAGGTATGCTTGGCTCTGCCCAGAAGATGCTCTGGTGGCTTGTGTTGGTGTGACTGAGGCACCCTTCTTGCCCCTGCAGGTGCTCAAGGCACAGGTGTTCTGGGTCCCATTGCTATCCAACAGGGTCCTCCCATGGGTAGTCAGCCTGGACAGCTGTATATGCTGAAGGGATAGGTACCTACTGCCCTAATGTGCCAAGCTGTGCATGGTACCAGGATGGAAGGAGCCACCTAACTTACCTGCCATATTTTGCATTGTTTGTTTTTCCCCCTAACGTGGTGGTTGCAGGTGGACTATGCTGGAAACCAAGGGCACTGTGTTATGGTGGGGTATAGCAAAGGAGGAATGAATCACGCAGCGGCTCCGATAAGTTTTAAGTTTCATTTAACAGAAACAAACAGAAAGGGAGAGACCGAGAAAAGGGACTGCAAGGGGTCAAAATAAAACTGAAAGTGGAAATAAGGACAGGGAGCAAAACAGAAAACTACAATAGGGAATAACCATCAAAAATGCAACAAGCCACAATGAACAGCACAAGAGCAGGCACTTGCATATATACAGACAAGGCTAACAAGGGGCAGGTGCAGACCATAACCAAATCAACCAATCAGGATAGGCACATGACAAGAAACAGGTGGAATCAATTGCAATTAAACACAGAAACCTAGAAACCTTAACACTAAAGGCAAACACTAGAAGATACTAGGAACATAAGTATAAGCAGAATAAAATTAAGGCAAATATAAGGCATCAGTAGGGTAAACCTAAAATAGATAGTAACAGACAAAGGAAAACAGTTAACCAATAAATATTAAGTAACAGATGAGGCTGACCTCTGACCAGTGTTGAACTCAGCCCCAGAGCCACTAGCTCAAACCATTGAGCTACATAGGAGCCCAGGGAGCAGGGAAAAACACAGAACGAGGATGGCGAAGTGACACTTCTGACCCAAATAAAGCACATGTATTATTTGAAAGAATTGCAGTTAGCTGCTTAATTCTTGGCTCCCAAATACATTTTTGGACTGCCCAGAACCCCCAATCAGTCACATCACACTGCTTGCTGCTCATGGATTTTTGACTCACCATTAGATGGTTGGAAGGTCTCAGTAGGGTCATTCCAATGATTTCATCCTTGGAGCTGAAAGAAACCTCCTTCCAGGGAAGGCATTTAATGCATGGAGCTCAGGGCCTGAAAGTAGTCTGGCCTGGTAATAAGGTAACCAAAGATGATGTTAGTTGACTAGCTATGTAGTTATCGAAGTTAAGCAGATAAAATTAGTCGTATAAAGTCAAGAATCATAAATCTGTCATGGATCCGGGCAGCTCAGACACGAGGACGTGGCCATCGGGCACAAAAAAGGGTGGACAACCCACTAGCGGCTCCAAGAATAAAAAGGAGTTTATTAAACAAAACCGAAAACACTAAAAACACAAAACCAAAAGGACCACGAGGGTCAAAAACTAAAGGGGATAATTAAAGACTTAATATCACAAATAACAAAAACTGGGACGGCAAACAGAATACAAATCTAACCAAACTAACAAAGCTTAGACGAGCAACAACAATGAACCACTAGGGAACTGAACAGAAGCAGGAACTAAAATACTAAGGGGTAACGAGACTAACACAGGACAGGTGAGGCTAATTAACAAAGACCAGGGAAACAGGGCACAGGTGTAACTAATAACTCAAAGGAACTAAAAACAGGGAAACTAAGAACAAACCAAGGAATAAGAAACCAACACTGGGGAATTACAGACAGGTAAAGACAAGCAGGGCCACAAGGAACAAAACAAAAACTACAAAATCAAACACAAGAACTAGAGAAACTCAAATGAAACACTAGGGAGCAAAAAATACAAAAACAGAGGAGGTGGGATTCAAACACAGGACAGAAGGGCACACAGACAACCACATGCTCAACACATTGAGTCACATAACCAGACAGGTAACAGAGGAGAACAAAGACTAACATAAAGAACGGGATGACCAGCAAATGCCTGCTGGCCAAACGGGGGATGGGACACACAAGGACCACAACAGGGGCTGACCCTGACAATATCAACAATCATAAAACAACAATCATAAATACAATATTTACTATAACAAACAAATACTCAACAGATGACTTCATAAAGCATATTCCATTAGATGTTAGGTGCTATCAGTACACAGAGAATGGACATATTCCATCTATAGTAAAAAGTCACGATTGTCAAAAAGTAAAGATAAAATTTTCATCAGTTAGGGATGACATACCACTTCTGCACAGGGTACTGTAGATCATCTCCCCTTAAAATTTCACTTGTAACTATTTCTTGCAATCTGTTTTTCGCATTGAATACCAAACTACTTTTTTACTGCCAAACAATTTTATTTTATTGGCAAACAAATTTACTTTATTGGCAAACAATAGCCTTTGGGTCAAAAGTATTCATGTAACAATAATATCAAGGTATATATAGAAAATTTTAACAGAATCATTATAATAATGCTGCCAGTAAAACTCATCTTTAAATTTGTTTATTGTGTTTTGTCTCTTTTTTTGGACAAATAGGGGTGTAGTGATGTGGAGTGTCTGTACCTGTAACTGTATAAAAGAATAGGAAAAGAACAATTATACTACATAAGTACAGAAAAGACAACCAGCGTCAAAGTACCCTTTTGCTCTTACTGTTGATCCAGCAGACTGGGGTGTCCAACATCCGTCTTTTTTTATAGAATCCTGTAGTGTCACTTTTAATATTTCTTTTAACGATATCAGTGTCATTTTACAGACTGGTTGTCATCGATCTGCACCAGCCCCGAATGGTATATTCCGATTTTGGATTATTTGTGTTCTCTGATTAATAAAAGTTCTGTTTAGCACCTGCACTTTCCTCTGAGTGGATGTTTATGGGTCTCGCTAGGTACCAAACTTACAAACGACTAGAGAAATGTTTTTTTCTGTTACGTGCCGTACGAGTTTGCAGGAGGTCCTGGCAGATTCTTCGGACTTCCCGCCCTCGTCGCCATTCGCCGGCTGGGTCTTCAGCTCCGCCCACACGCCTTGTCGTCGGCAGCTTGTCTGCCATTCATCTTGGCTCCGCCTCTTCTACCGACCAGACCCCGCCCACGACGACTCCGATGCGCCGCTCGTCATTTCCGGGTCCTGCGAAGAAAAGGCTACAGTTCGCAACACTCGGGAGTCGGGAGCTCTGCTCATTTCTTGTGTGTTTGGTTTGTTTATTGGTTTTGATTATTAGTGTATGACGGTTTTGGTTTTTGGTACTGTCGCTTTGGTTTGATTTGTTTCCTGGTTTATTTGATCTCTCGTTTGCCTTCTCCCTTCGGTACCGTTGCTTGTGTTTTGTGTGCTTGCTGTGTGTGTAAGGAGTGACTGCCTTTTTGTTTTGCGAGTCGTGACGATTTATTGTTGGTTTGTTTAGGGAGCTAGGTGGTAGAATTGTTGTTCTGTTTATAGTTTCTTTATCTCACGCAGGATTAGATTGGGTTCGTTCGGTAGCGGTGTTTTGTTTGTTGTTTTGACCTTGTCACTCCCGAAGTCTGTTACACCTGTTGTTTGTGAAAGTGTTTGTGAAAAAAAAAAAAAAAAAAAAAAAAAACTGAACATAATATTTAACAAATCGGACATCTAAGAACTACAGCCTGTCGCCAGGTTACGATAGGGTTACGTTCTGATAAACCTAAAATAAGGCAAAAATATCGTAAGGAGAAAAGGCATTTTAATACAGTACACCTATCCTAACAAGCATTATAGCCTAGTGTACCTTAAAAACATGTTTTGAACACTTACGTTAGCCTACGATTGTGCAAAATAATTAACACAAATCCTATTTTATAATAAAATGTCGAATGTCTCATTTAAGTTATTGAATAACATACTCAGTGCTTGAAGTGGGGAAAAATAAGTGCAGTTATTCTAAGTTTCCGACATTTGACATTTGTGCGGTGAAAAAAAAAATCAAGTCTTTAGGATGTGTTGGTTCAAAAACTATTTTAATTTAATCATTCTTCCAAGCAATAACCTATAGGTATAGGCTACTTTTTCTAATTCACAAATGGGATACTGAAAAACCATTAAAACAACATGTAGTCTTTTATCGGTCTTGTGATATTGTCTATTCTTGGGCCACTGTCGCTGCGTCGGATCAGTTTCAGTAAGTACCGGAACGCAGAAAAAAGTGGCGGAACCCAAAAGACGAAAATACAGAAGTTCCGGAACTGTGTTCCGGCCCACTTGAAGCACTGAACATACTGGAAGTGAAAAACATTTACCCATCGTAAAGTCAAAATATCGTAACGCGGGGGGCGTCTGTAGTGCTGATCCAAACCCTAGAAATGTACGACCAGATTGAATACTTAAAATGGCAAACACAGAAAACAGACTTTCTATCAGAGGAATCATTAGCACCAGTTCTTGCTAAATAATGTGACCACGGTAGCTTCCTGTAAGTGTAGACAGTGTATTTCACCATAAGATGACAGGATATTTTTATCGCATGTTTCCCTTATCTATTTATTTGAAAGGGAAACACTGCACCATATGCACAACGAAACAAATTCACTTGGCCACACATCAATGAGGTTACTCTGTGGACCATTACGCATCTAATAGGGAGTGTCTTTCAATTTGATACAAGTGTTGATAGAAAATATTGCAGGTATGGGTATTATTCATAGTGTATTTCTGCTTTAAGCTCCAGCACCTGTTTAAAAATTAAGCACTGGTGGAAATCAATGTTAGGGGCAATACCATCACCTACTGTTAGTGAGAATCAGTTGCTGACACTGGATTGTATGTGTATTCTGTATTTCATTTATCAGTAGCAGTATATCATGACCTAGTCCCTACCATTGTTGAAATGAATTAATGCCTTTTGTCACTATACACATGTATAATGGGATTAAGAGCAGCTCCATCAGTGCAAACATGTAGACATGACAAATAGTGCAAAAAGTTCTACAGCACTATATACATATGGAAGAATAACTAAATAGGGTTTAAATATAATACACAATGTGATATGCAGTGTGGGTTATCACATTTAGGTATTACATGGTACTAATGATCATGTGCAGTGAGTAGTGGATTTTGGATACAGAGCAAAGATATTGCAGTTAATACTGTTTAGGTAATGGATATTGCACAGTTGATAGAGGTCCAGGGGTTGGACTGTGTAGTCTACTGTTCAGTCAGTGCATGTGTACATTTAGGGTGGTTATGGCTTTGTGGAAAAAACTTTTGCTGTGATGCACCTGTTGCACCTCCCTAAGAGCAACAAGTCAAACAGATCAGAGCCAGGGTGGGAGCTGTCCTTGATGTTTTGCCCTGCTGAGGCAGCAGGAGGGGTAAAGATCCATCAGGAAGGTGAGAGGGCAGCTGATATTGTGCTGCTTTTATTACTCTGAAGCCTCTCCCTGTCTGCCATGGTGCAGCTGCTGTACCATACTGTGATACAGTACATCAGCAGGCTCTGATGAGTGGTAGAAGGTCAGTAGCAGGTTGGAATCCAGATTATGCTTCCTGAGGACCCTCAGGTAGTGTAACCACAGGTGAGCCTCCTTGGTTACATGCCGTGATGTCTGTCCAGGAGATGTCAGCAGAAATACCAAAAGGTGTGGACCCTCTCCACACACTCACCATTGATGAAGAGGATGGTTAAGTCAGTGCTGTGCCTCCTGAAGTTGACTGATCTTCCTGGGGTTCAGAGCCAGGTTGTTCCAACCTGAATCATACCTACACCCTTGCAAGTGCCCCAGAATGCACAAGTGCTTCAATTCAGTATGATCACTTACATGTTAAAGGTGATACCAAACCAAGCTGTGGTGCTTGAGATCACCACATTGAAGGGAGGCCATCAGCCACTCCCCAGAACAGACTGAGGGAATCAGCATTCACTTCTGACTAGCCTTGTCTGTTGGTTCCAGGCCCTGATCCCCATACAGGGGGAACCTTCCCTGAAATGGCTTCCTTGGTGAAGGAACCACCAACACCTTCCACCTAAGGGTATGGCTTTCCNTGAACACTTACATTAGCCTACAATTGGGTAAAATAAACAAATCCTATTTTATAAAATGTTGAATGTCATTTAAGTTATTGAATAACATACTGAAAGTGAAAAACATTTACTCATCGTAAAGTCAAAATAAGACAGACCATCGTGCCACCGGGGAGTATCTGTAGTGTTGATAAAAACACTAAAATTGACAACCAGATTGAATACTTAATGACAGATTCTTTCGATCAGAGGAATCATTAGCACCAGTTCTTGCTAAATGTGACCACTGTAGTTTGCTGTAAATGTAAACAGTATTTATTGTAAGAGGATTTTATTGCACAATTCCCTTATGAATCATTTGAAAGAGAAACACTACAGCACATACACTGAAAAAAATTACTAGACACAAATCAATGTGTAATAGAGTGTCTTTCACTTTGATGTAAGAAGTGAAGATAGGAATTGCAGGTACTGTACATTTAATTCTTAGTGCATTGTCAGTGCACTCCACTTCATATTCAGTTGGTTTGTTCCAAGCTGTAGCACTGGTTTAAAAATTAAGCACTGGTGGAAACCAGTGATAAGGTTAATACCCTCACCTACTGTTAGTGTGAACCAGTTGCTGATACTGGATGGGTATTCTGCGTTTCATTTATCAGTAGCACTGTATGACCCCTAGTCCCTACCATTGAAATCAATCCTATAACCTTCTATTCAGAAGAAGCACTTGCATGTTACAAAGGTGATGCCAAACCAGGCTGTGGTGCTAGAGATCACCACATTGAAGGGAGGCCATCAGCCACTCCCCAGAACAGACTGAGGGAATCAGCATTCACTTCTGACCAGCCTTGTCTGTTGGTTCCCTGATCCCCATACAGGGGGAACCTTCCCTGAAATGGCTTCCTTGGTGAAGGAACCACCAACACCTTCCACCTAAGGGTATGGCTTTCCCACAGGGTCCCTTTCCAGTCATGAAATCCACAGGCAGCAAGCAGTGGGAATTCCTAGGCAGTCCAGAAGTGTACTTGGGAGCCAAGAAATAAAGCAGACAACTGCACCATTTCAAATACTACTAGTGCTTTATTCAGTCACAAGACAG